TATATATGTCCGGCTTCCTAATTGGTCGGAAGTTGGCCAATCTGGAAGCCAGGCGCCGTGTAATGACACAGCGCCTGGCTTTCTGATTGGTTGAGAAGCCGGCTTCACGCTCCCTCATCACCTCATGATGAGGGAGTATGGAGCCGGCTTCACGGCTAATCAGAAAGCCGGGTGTCGCGTCATTACACGGTGCCAAACTTGCTGATTGGCCAGAAACCGGTGTTCTATCGAAAGCTCCAACACGTCAATCTCCAACTACCTCACTGCTGGGTACTTGCAAGTTGGAGATTTCGACCAGATGGTGTTAGACTGCAAAACACAGAGACTGACAGAGTTCTTTACAGCTGTATTTCAACAATATTCAGCAGGTAGCAAACTCGGTGAGTATTCTGAAAACGCTATGGGCGCATGCGCACCACAACTGTACAGAGCTCCAGTCTCTTTGAGCATCAGAAGTGAGGTAGTTGGAGATCTCGATGAGTTGCGGCTTTCGTTTAGAACACCGGCTCTATGATTTCTCGTCACCTAGTGACGGAAGCATGGGGACGGCTTCCCTGCTAATCTTCTAGCATATGGTTGAACATTCTGGATGTTTATCATTTGCAACAAAGTGCTAGCGGCACTGCGACTCACATCAGCAAATAACTGTGATCTGTAGCTTCTTTTCCGCTGCGTGCAGTTACCGCGCTCTAACATGTGATTTGCTACAATAACCTCAGATTGCAGAAAGCGCCGCTGACACTTTGTGCTGCAGAACAGCAGGTGACTTGCTCGGGGTATAATCACAATAGCTTTAATGTACTTTTTGTTTCGGCAGAGCAACCCAACATTAGTTCCAATGGTGCTTTTGTAGCTTTAGAAGTCTACGGTCAAAGTCATCCAGCCAAAAAAAAAATGTCTTAATATAAGCATAGAGTTTAGAGACTTGAAATATTTTACTTATATAGTGAAGGTTTTTTTAGCCAATCTTATGATTTCCTTTTGGGTTGGGTGGAATAAAACTGGGCTTTATTACCTAGACTTCTGCTCTTGTCAGCGCCCCCCTAGTGGTCACTCTGTAGGAACATATGGAGAATGCACTTTGTGAAGGGGAACCCGATTGTAAAAGTTGGACTAGTGATGGGATTAGAGCTTGCTGATTGGCTCAAAGACAGACATAATGACTTGTCATGGCTGGTCAGAGGATATATATATATATATATATATATATATGTCCACATGCAAATGGAAAAGGAATAGTCACCCTACCCATACTTTCATGTCAGAGCTGCCCGCCTGTTGACTGGTGATTTTAATTATCATGAAGCAACAGGAGAGGTAGACAAACACTAGTCCACAGAATGGATGAAGCTGAAGCAGGGAGATCCTTGCACTACAGGTCCTCCAGATACAGCTTGGTCTCCAGCAAGGAGAACAGTGAGAAGCACAGCACTGACATAACCAATTCTCACACCAAATCTGGTAAAACTATCAGTCAGAGGCAACAGTGCCATAGATGATCTCATACTACAGATATAAAGCTATGAGGCTACAGAACAGGGGTGTTTATTAGGCACAGCAAATGCGCTTCCATTTTTAGGAAGAATTCAAGACAAAAATTAAAACTTTTTTTAGGGTCCAGCTTAGGCTCAATTAACAGTTCTAGATGTTCTATATAACATAGCATATTCCCTTTTTAAGTTCAGGAGCACTTTAAGTCCTCTGAAGGAACATATTCAATAACAGAGCAAATTGGTGGAAAGAAAGGTAGACTAAAGCCTAGTGTTGACAATTATTATGAGGGGGGGTGTCCTTGTAAAATTGTTTAAGAAATACTAATAGGAAACAGTTAATGTTGAACTCCAGCCACAGGTAAGGGGTTTAGTGCAAAGCTGAAATGCATTTTTTTTAAACTGGTTTAACTGGAAAAGGATTTGTAATTCTGTTCAGTCAATTGTGTGATCCAGGGAAGGTTGACAAAGACTGCTGCAGTGCCTGCAGTAATGACATTAGTTTATGCAGGGACAAGGGCCTACCCTTCCTCTCTAGAGTCTTCCTTCAGTAATGTTGACCTGGCTTTGGAGTTCTCTCCATGCCAAGGCCATATAATGGTCCCGATCCTTTGTGTTGGTGACATCATAAAAAAAGTTCAAGTATATGAAAATGCAAACACTTAAGTGGTGTACATAGCTTCCTTTTTGCTTTGTAAATGTACACTGACTGACCAAAAAAAAAGTATCCAACTGGATTTCAGGCAGTGTATGATCTGGGTTGCTTCAGTGGGTCAGGTCTAGGTTTAGCAATGTTATGAGGGGCGGGCTTGCGATGACTGCAATGAGTGGCGGGCTTGCAAGGACGGCAAACGGGCAGTGTGCGCGTGCGCACACCGGCCCGTTCGTCAGTTGTCGAACAAGCAGGCCACTCACTCGCCGAGAATCGTACGATTCCCGGCGGGTTTTCCAGCCTGCTTGTTCGGTGGAAGACGTGCGACCGCACAGTAGAAAGGGTCGCACGCCTTCCATACACTTTACGATTCTCGTACGATCGCAGGATTTCCCGCGATTCTCGTACGAGAATCGTACAGTGTATGGGCACCTTTTGAAAGAAAATGAACTCTAGTACATTGAGTACCTTTTGTATTGTTACACCTGTAATGTGTTTGGCTGATTTGAACTGGGCTTTAAAGCAAACCAGTTCTTTCCTTATGCTGGGGAAAGCAACAGCTTCACTTTAATGCTGTTCTCTGCAGTTGCACACAGGGCCATCCCTGTAATGTGGCAGCCCGAAGCTTTTGCCTCATTCAGCATCTCTTTGGGTCACAGGGGGGAGGGTCAGAGCAGTAAGTTTGCAATGTGCCTGCCACCCCTTTTCTGGCCAGGGCATCCCAGTTTGCAAATAGCCGTAATAGGGAGATGTGTAAAAGAGCCAGACGCATCTACCCACCCAGCTCTTAGCAACCTGGATGCTCTGGCCGGCTTCCTGCTCAGCTCCTAGCAACCAGTGATGTCACTGGTTGCTAGTAGTAAAACAGGATGCCAGCCAGAGCATCCAAGTTTGGCAAGAGCCGGGCAGGGGGATGCAGAGGGTGGCATCGCTCTCCTGTCTGGTGGCCCTGTCTCCTCTACCCTGCTCCCGTGTGTTCCACCATTGGTGCCCACCATACTTGTCACTTTGCAATGCATGGACCAAGCATACATTGACATTTTCTTGTGATCAGCCACCAAAGTATCTCAATCCACCACTAAACATTTGTTATTGAGATGTTAATGCCACTTAATTACTAATTACTAGTGTGTTCTAACTCTCAGAATGCGTTTGACAGTTTTATAATGAATAATCTATCTACTATTGTCTTTTAGATGATACAAAGCAAAAAATGTTTCATATCACATTGTATATTCGCAAGTAAGAACATTTACTAAATAATAGACACTATTTCTATGGCCTGAAAACTTGTATTTATAAATAATTATAAATAATTAAATACCCCTGATCATAGACTTAATGTAAAGCTGCCCACACACCTTACAATTTATCTGCAGATTTTCTGTGGTCAGATGGAAAAAGTGCAACAGATTGGCCCAGGTTGAGATTACTCCATCCACACAGTAAAGTGAAGATGGAGGAATCTGTTGCACCTTTTCCATCTGACCACAGAAAGTCTGCAGATAAATTGTAAGGTGTATGGGCATCTTAATACCTTAATGCAGCCTAATTATGCACACCCCTGAATCAATAAGGGGTAGTAGGGAAGTTACTCACACCTGTTTCAACTTTACTCCAGTCTACTGGAGGCATTACATTCAGAGAGCTGTAGATCTGAAGGAGCAAGGTTGCACAATTGAGAATAATTGGCAAAAGCTAAGCTTAGTTTGATCTGGATGCGGGGTAACCATAGGGTGTTTATAGAACACATTAAGACACATTAAGTACATTTCTGACTTTTGCACAGTAGCAGTGACTTATGAACAACGTTGTCAGATCACAGAATGCTTTTACCTGCCAGGAATTGTGTATGCCTTAAAATGTCCTGTGTATGATTACAGAGAAGAGTGTGTAATGCTTGCTTTTCCCCATCTAGGTGATGAGCTGATAATACCATGTCTGAAGTACAAGCAACGTTGGAGTTCTCGGTGGAGCTTCATAAATTCCATAATGTGGACTTATTCCAGAGAGGGTGAGTAAATGATTCAATATTAATATTTGCAGGAAGTGACTTGTTACATTGTTGCTTTTCATTTGTGTGTGTGTCCCAACACTGGATAAAATGTTGATCAGTTCCCAATGAAAGGAAATCTCTTCAAAATGAGGGAAAGTCCCCTCTTGGACAGCTGTCATTGGATAAAGTTGAGTCAGAATTACCTTAATCTCTTGTTCTGGTGGCAGCTCCTAACATTTTTGATTTCCCATCACTTCCTATCTTGGTGACTACGTATGAAGTTCAAGTTTGCCTCAACCTTGGGTTCGAGGTGGATCTCCAGGTTTCATGTTTTGGTCAAATCCCAAACTATTGGTCTATAGGGTCGTGAGTTTGCATCAGAAATTAGAAACAAGCCATAATGCACTGTGTAGTTTTTGCCCCTGGTCAGCTGAGTTACAGGAGCCAATGCTGAAAGAATTGTTAACCCAGGCCCCCACACTATAAAAAGGTGGGCTCACAGCAGCCATATTGAAGCTGTTGGGAGAGTTGACAGTTCTGTGTAGTGAGAAATACTGTGGATTGTTACATATCCTTTGGTACCCTGTTCTGTAACACCATGTACAGCTATAAGGCATGCTCCAAACAGGGTCAGGACAAAAAAATTGGCAGAAGAGGCGGGAACCATGGTTGATTTTAGCAGACGGGTGTGCAAAAGAGCAAGACCTGAAACCTATGCTGCTAAAGTAGTTCAAAGGTTACGGGGAGGGCTCCTTTTGGCTTTTTGACCTGGCACTGGCCCCAAGCCCGCTATTGATAGGATTTGTGTATTTTTTAAATGTTGCACTTGACTCAGAAGACCGATCCCTGCTTTTTTTTTTTTTTTTTTTTTTTTTACATTTTGGCAATGATACATGTCCCCTATTGGCAGTGCCTGTCTTTCCATGCCGTCTTTTTGACAATAGCTTGCCCATTTGCCCTACAAATAGCCAGAAATTAACAAGATTCACCTTCCCACCCCACATTAGACTTCCGTGTTCAGGGTCATTGAATTGAAACAGTGGGCCGTCTCTTGAGAGGACCTATGTAAATATTTAAATGCCTTATTGGGTGGATGGATGTCTGTCTGGAGGAGTGGGCATGGTTGCATTTGCATGCACACCACTCTAGGTAACCCCAACAAATGTTGCTGAGCCTCCAAGATTGAAATAACTTAAATCTAATGAATGAAACGGGTGGGCCAGGCACAGTCAAGCTGGGGAGGAAAGCGCTAGATGGTGCTGGATGTCCTCTAGCCAAGAAATGAGGTGGGCACTGTCTGACTTGCTGCAGATTCTAATGCACATTGTGAGAAGCTCGCAGTGTTTAGTGACATCAGAGGAAGCCGTTTCAGTCCAGGAGAGCAGCCGGTACAACTGTGCAAGACTGAAGGGAAGGGCGGAGTACATTTTGGTTGGAGTTGGGCTTTAGTGTGACTATTCTAAAATGTTTTCTGAACGAAAAACAGCCAATTATATTTTTCTTCCTTGATGCTTTCAGGTACTATCACGTAAGGGCCTCATTAAAAGTGTCATCTAGGACACCACACAAGCTGACGGCATCACTTGTGGGAAAAACAGGTAATGAAAGAGAAATTACTAGGAGCCATTGCAGAGTTTGTATCTTTGTTTTGAATCATCACTGTGCATATTAACTTTTCTAAGGTTGTAGAAGGATATTTCACAGCTTGACCTGCTCTTACCTTGAAGATCCCCTTCAACCTCTCCTATATGAATGCTAAACCTTCCTCCATATGCAACCGAAATCTTTGTTCTTCGTACAGCCATTGGGATAAAACTTTGATTAGTCAAATCTTTACAGTGACCCAAGCTCGCTCCTGGGGTGGACTACAATCTCAATACAAATCAGTAAACTAAACATGAGATTGTAGTACATCCCAGGAGCCAGCTTGGAGCGGTGACTACTTTACAATGATACACAAATAAGATACATTGTTGTTAATAGTTAATACGTGAAAGTATTTTTAAGGTTTAACTCCTGAGTTTAGTGTCACTTTAATTGCCCACCTTCCAACATGTCCATTGCTAAATTGATCCCTGTGCAATTGTGTAGTCTCTTGGACACTTGGTACAGGCCATACATTGAGTATTACGTATTGCTCTTGGTTATTTATATGAAGGATGTCATTCAGCTTTTAGTGTATTAGCAGAGCAGTGGACTACTGGCTGCCACTCCAACTTTGGAGCCCTAGGGTCCTTGGTTTGAATTCCAACTAGGGCACATCTGCATGGACTTTGCATGTTCTCCCTGTACTTACATGGGTTTCCTCCCACACTCCACAGAAATGCTGGTAGGTGAATTAGCCCTAGTATGTTTTACATGTGAGGTTTTAGATTGTAAGCTGTATAGAGCTGCATACATTTTCAGTGCTATATCAACAATTCTGTTGTTTTGTACCAGTCTTGCCACTCTCCGTTCTGCCCTAACATTGACTAGTCGCTGACGGCCACAATTCACACGTTCAGACCCAGATTCTCGGCTGACAGTGCAGTCTTGCACAACACTTTAACAACAGCTGCTCTTGAACATTTAACAAATTCTGCTGTTTTGCTGATACTCGCGCCATGGCTCCGAGCGCCAACAATCATCCCACGTTCAAAGGCTGTTACGTGCCCAAAAATTAGGTCAGCTGCCTACCCTACCTATCGGGCTCCGATTGTGAAAGAGTGGTTCAGGTAGCATAGGACATCATTGTCACACATGGATTGGCCAAAACAGAGTCCAGACCTTAACCCAATTGAGATCCTTTGGGATGTGATGGAGAAGACTATACGCAGAGGTCTGACTCTTATATCATCACTATAAGATCTTGGTGAAAAATGAATGCAACTCTGCATGAAAATAAATGTTGTGACATTGCATTAGCTTATAGAAACTATGCCACGGTGAATGTGTGCCATGATCAAAGCTAAAGGCGGTCCAAGGAAATATTACAATGTGACTTTTTTTTTCCTATAGCAGTATTTCTCAAAATAGATCTTAAGTTTAATTTGACGATATTGTTAAAGATCTGTGCATCATATACAACTGCCATTTTTCCCCAGAAAATCCTGTTTCCCCCTTCTCCCTATCTCAGTGCTGCTGCTGATCTCCTCCAGCCTCCTCCAGGCACTTTCAGTCTACAGGCGCCCACTCCAGCGTCAGCTGCACATCATTGCTCTGGATCAGCTTCTAATAGATCATGTCTGTACAATATGTGCCAACACCAGGGTCATGTATGACAGGTTGAAAGTAGAGTTAGTCCACGTTCACACCGAAGTGTTCTGTGAATGTGTGCCAAACGTGCTTCACGCATGCACTTAGACGTGTGTTCACGGAACGCGTCAAAAATGTGCAATGCACTTGTGGTGCCTTTTATTTGTTAACGTGGACGGGAAAATGTGTTTTTGTTTTTCCGTGCATTGACAAACTTTAAAACACGCACAAACTGGAAAAATTAATGCTATATGTTTGTAGCAGAAAATGCTACATGAGCTACTTTTCTGCATTTGTCACACATGCGGCAACCATTGAAATCTATGGTGATGTGCGGCATACGCGTGAAAGAAAAGCATGTGAATGTGTGCGAATGCAACGCACATTCCCCGTATGCCGAGGTGTGAACAGGGCCTTAGGAGGCAAGGCCAGTCACCCTATACAGGAACTGCCTCTATTGAAGAGAGCAAGGTTGAGGCAGTAATAAAATAACACTTTACGGTATAAATGTTTTCACACAGAATTCACCTTTTCTTGTGTAAAAAAATAAATAAAAAAAATATGTATACACTTTTATAAATTTGTATATAAATATATGAGAAAACAAATCTCTGAACGGTTGTTTATTTCCTGTGGGAAAATTAGCTTTTAAATCCATTTTATGAAAAGTAAAATGGAAAAATATAAAGTAAAAGAAAAAATGCAAATACATTTTTTGTTTTTTACTTTTTGTTTTTCTTTTTTTTCTGTGAAAAAAAATAATCATATAGCAATAAAATACCTAAAAAAATAATATAAATACATTCTTATGTACTCTTGTTTTGAATATTTGTAGGGTTATTCACAAAAGGGTGAAGAGAGTTTGGAGAAGGCGGGAGAAGTGAACAATCTAGGACAACATGGCTGGTTTGGAAAAATTCTCCAATTCAGTCCACTTTTCACTTCAGCTATTTTGTCCTAGATTGTTCACTTCTCCTGCCTTCTCAAAACTCTCTTCACCTTTTAGTGAATAACCCTGTTAATTGTTGCTACTTCATTTCTCTTGTCACTATCTTTCTGTGAGGAGAAAACACTAAAATAACAGGAAAATACACCACAAAATAAGGAAAAACACAAATACAGTATGTTCTTTGACATATT